GGAGGGCTAGGAATGGGGAAAAAATAAGAACCAAGATGCATTATATAAAGGTACAATTCCCAATGAGAAATGTAATTGTGTTGTACACCTACAATGTACCAATAAAAGAATTTAATACAAAAAAAAAATGTGCACTTAATGTATGCCCTAACAATCCTATGCCTAAGCATTAAAAAAAAATAAAAATGCATGTTCATACAAAAATGTATAAGGCAAAGATTAATAGTAGCTGCTTTCATAACTGCTAGAAAATGAAAAAAATTCAATATCCTTCAGTTGATGAAGGGATTTTTAAAGACCCTAAAACTGTGACACTTGTACACAATGGCATACTATACACCCATTAACGCTGATGTATATCAAATACTATGATACACTAAATGAAAAATGCCAGACTCAAACTGCATACTGCATGATTACAGGATTTACATTCTAGAACAGGAAAAAATACAAAGTAGAAAACAGATCAGTAGATGCCAAGGTCGGGGGGGATGGAATTTAACTACAAAGGGATACAACAGAATTCTAGGTGCAGGTAAAATTCTTCTATAACCTGATTGTGGTGGTGATTATATGACTATGAGTATTTGTAAATGCTCTTAGACATGTACAGTAAAAGTGGTAAATGTTACTGTATGGACATTTACTTATTAATAATAAATCAAACACACCTACACACATATATTACACACACACACACACACACACACACACACTTCCCTCACATTGTACTTGTTCATTTGCATCCCTGAGTGAAATTACTTTTAAATTATTTTCCTAAATTTGCTGCACTATAAAAAAAATATTCTAGCCAGAAGTGTAAGTAATTGTTTTTATAATTACTGTAAGTTTCAGGCTTCTAGGCTACTTTCCAACTATACTCCATTAGTCTTATCTCAATGAAAAGACCTAGTATAAGAGCCATTTGAATTAATTCTCTCTATTTTGGCTTATGAGTACATTTTTTTATAAGAAAAAGACATATGAAACTGAATACAAGAGCTGGGTACGGAGACACGTGCCTGTAATCTCACCAATTGAAAGGCTAAGGCAGGAGGATCACTATGAATTCGAGGTCAGTGTGGGCTACATAGCAAAACCTTGTCTCAAAAAACTTTTTAAAAGTTTCTGAGTACAAAATATTAGCCAAATTATAATATGGGAAAAAATCCCAATGCTAGTACCATTTTCACTGATCTTCTGTTCATGCCTTGGCCCTAACATGAAATCCTGTGGATAAAATACAAATGGCTCCAACAGTAAGGCCTCTAGAGGGCCTGAGGAGGCTTTCTTCCCTAAACAGTGAAAATAACTACTTATTTTACTGACATTATGTGTCTATAAATAAAAATGGGCTCTTTTGTTTTGTCTACTAGATTGTGTTTACATGATATCAAAGCATGACTTATGCTTCACCTCTTACAAATTGTCTCTACATTTAAATGTAATAGTTGGGTATTTAATTTCAATACATAAAAATATAAAGAAGGTGACATAAAAGCTCCAACAATTATTTTACAGAATAACCAGCCTATATTAAAGGCAAGTTTTCTTTTTCATACAACAAAAAAAAGATATTTGGCATTCAGAAATAAGGAAATGGAAGTATATTAAAGGTATAACTAAAAGTTAGCAATTATTTTTTATGAGCCTAATTTGTTAAATGGCAAAATCTTCTTTCCGGAGAAAATTTCCTGTAGATGTAGAACAAAATTTTACTACCAGAGCAAATGGCAAAATTAACTTCAGCAGCAGCTAGATCATAGTGGTCTCCTATCTGAGATGTTTACTTGAGATTTTTGAATCACTAGCTTCTCTTGTTTTCTGTTCAAAGTGGCAATACAATTTATCAGAGTTTAGACTTTGGAGTCACAAAAACTGGAAATCAAGGAGCCTACCAAGTGTGAAAAGTGTGACCTTGTACAAATTAAATTACCTAAACATCCTTGTGACTCTTCATCTGTAAAATCATTATGAAAGTGGTATAGCATCTTATAAAGATATTATGGGATACAATGAGATAATCTATGAAAAGTCCTTGGCACAGTACCTTGTAGATGATAAACTTTAAATACATGGTGGTACATGGTGGCTACTGGTATTAACCCCTAAATTATCAATCTTTGATTCTCATAAAAAATGAATATGACTCTCTTGAAAAGATTACCTTTTCTATGATCCTCTCTGATTATCCCTCAATCATACGATATTCAAATTCAAGAAGTTATCGGTCTACTTGTAATCCCTAACCACTCAGTACCCTGCTGGATAGAACAAATGACATCAATGATGTTGCATTTATTTGTGTAAAACTCTTAAATATCTAGCATTTTTTTCCAAAGGACATAACAAAACAAAAAATAATTTGGTGAAGTAAAAAGTTATGGAACTAGACAAAAGGAAAGATCTGAATTCTAAAGAGTAAAATGCAATGGAGTAAGGAAACGGGAGAATGGAAGGGCTACAGGCATCCTCTCTATAGCTCTAAGATATATAACACTGCCAAATACCTTCTTCCTTCACAAAATGTTCCTCGGTTTTTGTAACAAGCCTCTCTTCCATTATTCTTCCCCAGCTATGCTTAAAATTCTCTGTACAACAGGATACTCGCACTTTCCACATAGCAATTATTTCTCAAAAGGAATAGAACTTTTAACTTCCTCACTTCCCTTTGGGACTAATTACTATTTCTAACATAAAGACTCTCAGATCTTTATTTCTAGCCTCAACATCTATCTATTCTTAGAGATAGCAAGCACTAAATACATGATTATCCTCACATGTACAAGAATTACATGTTGATAACTTTTAAACTCAATTAATTTTGAAAAAAATTATATTTCATCTTTCTAAACTATGTTTACTTTTCCCATGAAAATAGAAGACTATGGTCTTCCAAAAAATGGTTTTTGTTATAGTTCATATGATAAAAAATTTTTAATGTATCTAATTTAAATCATAAAAAGTTTGAATTTAATATATCAAATTGTCATAATGTTAAATACAATTGTAAAAGAAACATAGGTACATAAATGGTGCAGTCTATATTAAGATTCATATGCAAAATAAGATATACCACGAT